CACTCCAGGCCCAGACGCCGGCAGGGATGTTTTTCTGCACTTGCGGCACCATTCCATCCTTTGCACCAGGCGCTTCATTGTCCTCACTACCAGCGGCCTCACCACCAGGCGCTGTTTTAACCGTCTTTTCCAATACGGCATTACCAGTTTCATCTCTACCGTCGTCCCCAGCCGCAACCGCCTTTATTAATCCCATTCGCGTAGAAATCAACCCGCAACCCGCCTTCAGGCGCACCCTGTCATTTCCTCCATTATGCGTGTGCGTCAATACGTTCCCATCACCCTCAACGCAGCGGTTGTCCCTTGCAGCTCCAAAAACAGTGAGGCACCACAGCACGCAGAGGGCACACACCAGCAGCACACGGCCAGTCATCATCATCGCCATCGCTCCTGTCACTTGCGTGCAGCCTTCAGCACAAACTAACTCCCCGTCAACGCAGAGTGAAAGCAAAAGAGAAAAGAGAGACAAGTCACACAACCACCGCACAGTAACAAATGGGAGCACCCCAGCAGTGACAAACACACCATGAGGCAGTTGGAATCAGTGAAAGGGCAAAAAAGGCAAATGCACAGTCCTGCAGCAATTAATCAGCAAGAAAAAAAGAAAAACAAAACAATTAAAAACAAAAGTAAAAAAGCAACAAAAATTTTTAATAAAAGGAGCTGCACAGTATGGCGCCATTGTGAATGCATCCACATGCAAACATGCGTCCACGCAAACAGTTGTGTGCGTGTCGTGCATATAAGTGTGTCTGCGATGCGTTCAACGTGACGGATACAGGGAGCAGCAAAATGGAGCACACAGCAGGGCAGCGGAAGCAAATGAAGCAAAACACAATCATTATTTTCTCTTATTTATTTACATCGGACCACAGTAGACGCGCACAAATCCCCACGGTTGAGTGCTGGCACGCACAGCCCGCACACACCTCTTCAGCCCACAGTGGTGTACGCCAGCGCGGATACGGCGAGCAGCAGCGTGGCACACACCCACGCAGAGCTTCTGAGGCTGCCGTCCATTTCACGAAGACGTGACGGTGCGCGCGTGGTCGTCGTAGTTGGCGCCTCTGTAGTCGTAGTACTTGGTGCCTCTGACGCAGTGGTGGTGGTCGTAGTTGGTGCCTTTGTTGTAGTCGTCGTGGTCGTCGCGGCAGCATCTTCGGCCCCCTGATCTGCTTTGTCTGAAGAAGGATCCGTGGGACTTGGTGGCTCTGTCGCACCGTTCGTACCATTTGACTGTACTGCACTGGAAACTTCATTTGATTGCTTTTCCGGACTGGTAGAGCCTGGTGTCTCTGGCGCATTATTTGCTGATTTTCCCGCAGTAGCCCCCGTGCCTGGCGACCCTGACTCACCTTCCACCTGTAATCCCGACTCTGAATTAGAAGAACGACTGTTGACGCTTTCATCAGCGCCACCCGGCTCGTTCGCGGTTGGTGGCTGTGTTGTCCTGTTCGTCGTCGTCCTGGAATCATCAACATTCTCCGGAGACTCTGAGGTGCACACGGACGGGCAGCAGCACAGGGCGAGCACCAACAGGGCGCACAGCAGACGGCACGTCATCATCGTGAGTGTGGTCGTTCAGTGGTGTGGAGCTGATCTGCACAGTGAGGGACATGGAGAGCAACAGGGGAGACGAGAGGTGCGGCAGACACACACACAGAGGGCACACCACATGAGGAGAGGGCAGCAGCCAGGCATGCACCGTACGCCGCACACCACGCACGACACACACTCCAATCCACGGCAGCAGGCACACACACACAAACCTGCACTCTGTAATACTTATATTGTACAATTGTTGTGGTCAGTGCATGCGGTCACACACAAAAAGGAGTGAGAAAAGAGGAGACCACTACGGCTAGACATCAGTCTGTAGGCTACCAGAGGGACGAAAAAGGCAAGAGGGCCGCGCCGCGTCGGCAATCGGTGCGTAACTTGCCTGCAGACCAGGCGTCGTGCGCGATTGTTGTCGTTCATTGTGACACATCCGCCCTCGTAGCCCCAGAGGGTGGAACAGCCAACGTCAACCCAAACACCGCTGTCAACACGCCATTGCCACAATCGTGAAGAGCCGGCTGGCACCACACACGGCAAGAGGGACACACCAAAACACGCCATGCACCAAAGGGGCGCATCAAGCCCGCAAACAGTGCGCACCGCTGCAACACCGCAGGTCCCTCCCGCACGCACCATCCTCCTCCTCCTTCCTTATCTTCGGCTCATTGCCGCCACATCCGACACCTGCACCTCACAATACCAGAGGGAAAAACAAAACAGCTGAAGCAGCAACAACAACAAAACTGCCACCTTGTTGCGCTGACGCCACTGCACGAAAGGGTGCGCCGACGACGGGAGTCCATCGCGCAGGAGACGGAAAAGAGCCCAACGAGACACCCAAGAGCCACACGTTGGCAGTCTTGTCGGGGCTGCCCCAATGCAACCACAACAAATAGTGCCGCAACCACGGAGCCATGCACCCTGACCCACAGCGTGTTTTCCCAATCAGAACAGCAGGGACAGAAGGAAGTAAGACACACTACCCACAGTGCAGCAGAGCACCCGAAACACACACAGCCAATCAAAAACGGATGCAAAAAATTGGGAAGGCAGAAAAATAAAAAGGGCGCATGCAGATTAAAAGCCGAAGCACAGAAATTATTTGAGGTCCACATTCTCGCAATGACGCACACACAAAAAAAAAAGTCACAAAAACAAGCAAAAGTGTAAAAGATAAAGCCGCATGCACCAATTACGGAGGCAGAGGCAGTCGTCCCTGTCCTTCAGAGAAACAGCTACTGGCACGACCCCGCATCCATTGGAGCACATTTCCTTTACTTTTTACTCATGATTAAAGTACGGTGGTTTCCCCTCGTCCCAATCGCATCAAAAACGCGTGTATACATGTGGTGCTGGGAACTGTCTTTTCTCTCCATGTTACTTCGTTCACACACAGTTTTCACGGAAGTTAAACCCTCCAAGCAACAAAACAAAAACACCTTTTCCCAGAATAACAAACAAGGCAATAAAAGACCGGTCATTTTGCCCATCCCCCGCAAGCAAAGAAGAACATGGGGAATGCAGTGAGTGTACTATAGTGTTATTGCTACGGCTTTGCACATCTTGAGTGCGGGGCCAATGTGCCAAGTAAATACTGTCGCCCTGCCGCAGTTTGATTGCGCCCAGCCGCCGCGGCTGCTCAAAGAGGCACCACCACTACCGCCGCAGCGACCACGACAAGAAGCACAAAGGGAATGAAGCCAGCAGTAGCATCTGCCACACCGCCATCACTGTCGGCCTGCTGTACCAACGCATCGGGTATCGCCCGGAAATCGTCGCTGTTGACGGACGGAATCGGAGTGGCAGGCGCGGAGGCACTGGGAATCACCGCTGGGCAATCCGCCCGCGGGTCGCCCTCCGCTCGTGCAACGTCCTCGCCGGGTGATGGCGCAAAAAAAAAGCGTCGGGGCCGGAGGCTCTGTTGGCTCCGTCGCTTCCACTGCCAGGTGTCCTCCCTCGCCGCTGAGTGTTGTCCTCACTTTCGGTCTGCACCCCCGGATCACCCCTCGGACCGGCATGAAGGCCACCACCAGCGACACCCGCAGCCGAAGCACCGGGAGGCTCCTTTTCAATGGAGGCACCAGACACCACAGGAGACAACTGTGGACGAGTATCCTCCGAAGAAGGCGACCCTGAAGCAACCGCCGACTCCTCTGCTTCCTTCTCTTGCTCGTCACCCTGTCCACCCACCAACGCACTCGGAATGACAAGACTGCTGCCGTTCGCGGCAATGGTGCACACCTCGCCGTACGTGGGGCACTTGATCTTCCCATCTTTCTGAAAATCTTTCAACGTCACTGGGATGTCAGTGTCCTCAGTGCAAGGCTGAAAAACACTGCTGCCGAGGTACTTCACCTTCACTGTGCCCTCCTCACACGACACCTGCGCGCACACTCCCTTGACGCTTTTATGGCCATCACCGTCCTTCGTCTCCAGTAATTCCGCGTCCAGGTACCACGAGCCACTGCCAGTCAGCGACCCACGGAGATAATCCACATTTTAGTCCGAGCACGTCCTGTAAGTTGTCCCAGACGATATTTCGTGAAATTCCAAAGATACGACAGGGCAAACATCCTTATCCACCAGACTCTTCCTGTCCTCAACGATGCTTGCGGTGCACTTCCCAACGTGACGGCGGTCGAAGGTGCAGCGAAGTGTCTCTGTGTCTTTAGCATCGCAGAACATGTGAGGATAATTGGCGGCAAGATTATCGGTTGTATTGCAATTCTTCTCCAGGAAGTCGCAGCCACTGCGGTGGCCCAGCTCATCGGCTCCGCCATGCTCCAATTCACGCGGTAGTATCCCATATCCGCAAAAACCGCCATCGTCAGAGCCGTGTAGTAGCCGGCACCAACTGTGGGAGCCATCAGCTCGTCCCGCGCGTGGCGTCCCCTCCAGTGAGGGATTTCTTTTTCTCGAGGGCCATCTTCGTCCTCCAGCTCCATGCCCTCGAGAGTCTCACAACCAAAGTGCGCTTTCGCCTTCTCCTGAACGTGCTTCCCTGCCACCATCATGCGGTGCGTCCCACGCACACTTCTCTCTCGCTTCTTCACCAGACTCTTTTCTCTCATGCTCTCCTGGCTGAACCCAAGTGCATGCGCAATTTCGTGTGCGGCAACGCGAACGCTCCACGCCGTGTCAGTCATGTACTTCGGATCAAAGTTCATGGCGCCAATGTAGGGGCGAAGATCTGTCAATGTGTTGCACGTGGCCGCCCAAACAACGCACACGGAGCGAGTACCCACCACACCAGCCACACGACAGTGGACCCTCATCCATCCACGACGCGGCACCAAAACTTCCAGCCATCCCGCCCTCAATGGGACACGGAGCCCAACTCAGCGCAGTCACACGCGGTGCTCCACACCCGCAGGAAAGAAGACTCGGGCTGCGCACTCCCTCTCCCTCCACCTTCTCCTCATAGCCACGGAGGAAGACAACAGCCGCCACACGCAACTGCCAGCATGCACTGCAAAAGAAGCATTCAAATCCACTGCAATGTGCATCTTGTGTGTGTGTGGTTGTGTGTGCCTGCAGAAACACAAAGCGAAGAAGTAGAAAAAAGGAAGCAGAGTATGTAGGGAAACGCACAAAATAAAATGTACAGCGGAGGTGCGTGGCGGAAGCAACAAGAAGAAGACAGCTCAAGCTCATGACTGCACTGCATTCCAAGCAGCGGAAATTCACAAAAGATTTATTTTAAACAAAAAAAAGTTCCCCTTCGTCTTATATAAACCCCATCACACAAAATAATTATAAATAAAAAAGAAATCGTCCATTACTGTTCCACACAAATTTTAAAAAGCAACCAACTACCATGCTGCTCCAGAAATTGTCTGCATATATTTTGTCCGAAAATAAAATTAAAAGATATTTAAATGTCTTTCAACCGTCTGACCCTCCATGTGTCCGCACATCGTTTATATTTCATGGGGTCATCTGCGTGTTGCTGCTCCCCTCAGCCCTCTCATCGGCGTGTGAGTGCGGCCCGCAGAGCACAGTCACTCGTTTGTGTGGGGACTGAGAGAAGCACGCAGACATGACGGGAGTCGCGTCACTCCATCGGGAGAGTGAGCGCAGCAAAAGAAAAAATCATCAGGAGTGAAAAGAAATGCTCACGAGGCCGACACCGAAGGGACTGCCGGCACAAAAAAACACACACAGTGAGAAAGTCAAATAAAGCAAGCAAAATTCCTTTTTAAAGCGGCAGGGTGTGGCTGTGTGTGTGACGCTGCGGGTGTCTGCCCGCCCTGACCGCAAGAAAGCAAAACAAGAGGGAAAGAAATGTGTGCTCCGCCCCACAGGCCCTCGTCGCACGCCCACACGTCACGGCTCCCTCAGCGCGCCGTTCGTCGCGGCCCCTCCTCATGCGTGCAGCAGGCGAGGCGCACAGGGCCGTCGTCATGAGCGTGTCGGTGGGTGTGCGAGTGGAGCAGTTGGGCGGGAAACACACGGCACCCCTCACAGGAAGAGTGCAAAAGAAACAATTAAAAGAGGGAAGAGTAGAAAAGAAAAAAACGTCCATAGTGATTGCCCCCAAAAACAAAAAAGGGGGAGATAAAAAAAAAAAAAAACGGAAACACAAAAAAAGAAAAAATTTGCGGAGAGTAATTCATTACCGGATGTGCGTCGGTGTGGAAGAGGGCGCAAGTGCCCCACACTGAGGCCGCACACTCCTCACGCAGTCGCAAAGCCCCACAGTCCCAGTAGAAGCAGCAGCGGCAGCAGCACCCTCCCGTATGCGGAACCAGCATCACCATTTGCCCCACCATCACCCGTTTCTCGTGCCGTCCCTTCATTCCCAGCAGAAGTCAAGCTTCCCGCTGGCGCATGTTGGTTATTGGCGGTTCTCCCCACAGTTGTCCTCCCCGGTGCTGCTGGTACTTCCCGTGGGCCAGGCACCGCAGGTGCAGCAGGTGCGACAGGTTTGGGAGCAATTTTCACTTGTGGTTCTGGAGCTCTCGTCGGAACGGGGATCCTGTCCTTGATTGCGGTCATCTCAGTGGAATTCAGTGGGCGGTTGTACAGAAAGACGTTCCTCACCGTCACACGAGGTTTTTTTGCCGATCTCCTTCGGACTGGGCTTCTCCTCATCATTATCATCAATTTCGCACACGCCAAAGCAAAACCCAAAAAGCCCAAGTGGTGTCTCGCCTGTTAACGGCACTTCTCCTTCCCCCAGCGACTCACCATCAATGTACACAGAGGCCTTGTTGCCTTCCAGCATGAGTGCCACTTGGTGTTCTTTCTTCGGCTCCCAAGTACTGCCCTCTGTTGTCGTTGTGTTTGTGCCTTCGAACATCGTCTCCCACTTGTTATCCGCGGTGTACGACAGTCTCATGAAATACTCGGGCTCAGCGTCACCCAACACCGCATCCAGTAGAGGAGTGTTATTACTCGGAGCCTCTTCGATGGTCGCCGACGCCACAACTGTGAAGTTGTGGCTCAAGGATACATGACGTACTTTATCATTCGGAATGTTCACAGGCCATATTACCCTGGAGTTAGACTCCGTCAACTGAAACCCATCTTTGACCTTCACCGCATTCCTCACCGTTGCATTCAGGCAAAGGTACTCGTCGTTCCACGTGTCATCGGTCGCCGATGCGTTTGACAAAACTGCCACCAGACCCGCCGTGGGTATAGAAAAGCTGGAGAAGAAAACGTCCTTTTGCGCCCAGGTACTGAGGACGGACTTGATTTCCTTCAGTTCCTCCGTCAGGCGGGAGAGTGAAATGACACGGCCTTCACCACTGACCCTCCGTTGTAAAAGATGCAACTTGCCATCCGAGTACAGCAGGGTGCTGGCGACCTCCTCCTTCCCAGCATTGTACATGCCAACCGGTCCAACAGAAAACGAGCGGTTGTTGTCCGTCACCCAAAGGTAGAGCGCAGTGGCCCTTTCCGTTTCCCCCAAGGCGTGCCCTCTCTGAGTGTACAGCATGACCTTCCTTCCCTCAATGGTCGCGGTGATGAGGGCATCCACATGCAGGCTTTCCTTCTGAGGGACTCCTGATCGTGCGTTGACCCACACGCCTGGGAGTGTCCCGATGGCCTCCGTCCACGCTGTCCCCATGTCCCGCGACTCGTACACCCTCTGACCGTTCTCGGAATCAACAATCATGAGAAGTGATCCCTTCCACTCGGTGATGCGGGGGTTAGGGCATTTCGCAGGGGACATGCCCTCTGGGAACACCCAGGTACTGCCGCTGTCCGTCGAGTAAATGATCATGGAGTAAACGTCACCATTTTCTTCATTCATCGCCATCAGAGAAAACACAATAGTGCCATCCTCCATCAGAACACCCGAGCCACCAGAAGCGAGGCACTCCGTCCATTTACCTTTGTGAGCAGCTAAAGTAGTCTGCTGCACCGGCGATCGAACTTCGCCCCATTTTATCCGTTCACTTGGCTCGCCGCCCGTGGCATTCGTGACCTCACCCACAACCAGTTTTAGTTCGAATCTGGCCTTTCTCCTATCCCCATTTACAGGGGACAAAACAGTGCTTCCCGCAAGAAGAAACACCTTATTGCCCTTCATGGTTGTTGTGGGGCGGAGCACAACATCCAAACCCTCCTTTCCCTCCACTTTGCCAAGCACAGTGTGTGCACTCCATTCTTCCTTTTTGACCTTTTCAACAAGAGTGGGCCATTCCCACGCAGAGTCGATGTACTCCGCAACAACATCAGAAAACGGGTTAGTTGATTCGTTATGGGAGTTTTTGGCATTTATGTGACCCTCGGCGAAAGCAGCAATTACTCCACCAGCACTGACGAGAGAGGGTGAAACAAATGAATCCCTCCGACCTGAGTCAGCCCCCGTCTTCGGCTGCATCTGCGTCGTCTGCGGCACAAATAGATCGACCCGTTGCAGCCCCTCAACACCCCCTGAAGCACTCCCCTCTGCAGTAATGGCACCCGTCAATGCCGACAAAGAAGGAGTTGAGGCAACAGCATTACTTCCCACCTGAGCGGTCGAAGTTCCACTGCAGCACATCATGACGACAAATAGGAGCAGCACCGCGGAAGTAAACACACGTCGGGACATGTTGGGCCTCGGCGGCTCACTCTCTCTCCCTTCCCTCCTCCTGCCGCTGGATCCGGTCACGCGGCGACGGTTGTGTGTGCGGGGTGCCTTCACTGCAGCAACACGTGAGAGCATATTAATATGTGTGTGTGGGCGGTGTGTGTGCTGTTGTTCCTTTCAGTGCCCTCGAATTTCACAGTAGCGATTAGCGCTTGTTTGCTTTCCTTTTCAAGTGTGTGTGTCAGAAATAGGAAGAAGAGCACAGGGAAGCACATTAGACACACCAATGGGGTGCACAGCGTGTCACTGCAGCAGCAGCAATCATTTATTCCAACCATTCACACGCCGAGGTTGAAGGGCTGTGTGTTTTTTCAAAAAAGTCAACGCACGACCACCAACAGACGTGCCAGCGCTCATAGCCAAAAAAAAAAAAAAAAGGGATACCCGCCTCGTGGGCAACAGGACCGCATCTTCGGCCCACACAAAAAAGCAGCGGGAAAAGCACTAAACAGACAACAGTCAGCGGCACACACGCCAGACCCAGCTGTGCCGCACGGAGCCAGTCGCCTGCCCTGTTGCTGAGAAACACAGCATGGAATATCCGCCGGCCATTGCGTCGGGGATGCACGCCAAGCCGTGCACAAAATCCCACCAGGACCCAAAGCATTAACTCTAACTTCGCACACATCCCCCATAGTCGCATCCTCGCCATTCCGAGCTGTGCCTCAGAAAGTAGTGAAGGGCAGCGTCGAAGGAGTCAAACGCCTCCGCACCGTCGCAGTGCATCAGACTGAATGAAAGACCAAAGTCCTCCACACTCATCACAGACGCGTCACACGCGCCGCCGTACTTCTCCTTCATGGAACGCCAATCGAAAGTAAATGTCAACTCCCTCTTTCCCAGGGCGGCAGCGTGGGCCACTTCAAACGCCGTCCCGCAGTCCAGCCCATCCAAGCAAAACAGACACAGGTCCGCAATGACGGCGTCGCGCCGCCTTACCATCTCCACTTTCTTCACCCACATCTCCCCAGCCCCTGGGGCCACGTTTCCAGCGGGAATGAGCGGCAACGCGCAGTGTACCCACAGAGCCGTGCGCACACGATCCTAGCACGCCGCACCCGTGTCTGCGTCGAACACAGCGGGGTCAACAACGTACACTCCACACATTGTGAAACTGCCAACTTGGCTCCTGTCCTTCCGCTCCTCCAAAAATAAAAGAAAAGGAAGCGGAAGAAGTAAATCAGAGAACGGCGCCGTCGCAACAAGGCAGAAGCACGAGGAGCACAAAAATGCAGGCCTCCTCGGAAGACTGCGCCCTCAATAAAATGCACCCGCGGCAAGCAAATTAAGAACAACTGTGACGTCGCTGACGCGGCAAGCGGCAGACAGCGACGGGCAAGGTGCCGCTGACGCCACTGCATTGTCCACATTCCGCTCCGCCGCCCTCGCCCAGCGCCCAACGTGGAGCGTGACGCAGAAAAGAAGAAAAAAATGAAAGCTGCGGATCGCATCGTTAGAGTGTGGAGGGTCCACGTATTGCGGACAACGGGCCCACGCACGTGCCGTCCATGCCGCCTACATCAGGACACCTCGGAGAGCAGAAATACGGCCTCCACGCCATCCAGCGCGTTGCTGGGGCGGCACGGTAGTGGTGAGGCAAAAACACACACACCTCATCCACAATGCGGCAAGTGAACGGCAAAAGAGCACAGCAACCACAACGCAAACTCCACACACGCGCAGAAGAGAGCGCGCACAGCCCGTCACTTGTTTGTTAGTGAGTGTGTGCGTGGGATGGACGCCACACCAGCAGCAGCCGCACACGCAACAAGAAGGAGAAGCAAAAGAGGGGAGGTGGTGTGGGAGACCGCGGTGCTGCCGTCACTGTCGTCAGGCGTCGCCGTACCATTTGTTTGAGCAGCGGTGATTGTTTCTGCCGTTTGTGGTGCTGCCTCACTGAGTGTTGGAACAACGTTGGTGTTGCCAGTTTCAAGGCTGTCGTGTTGTTCTTCAGAGCTTTGAGCATCATCCTTATCTGCCTTATTGTGGACATGATCACCGCTGCCACTTGTAGAGGTAGATGAGGTTGTTGGTTCTGCTGGACTGCCGGTTGTTGCATTCTTCGTCGGATCCTCTGTGTCTGTGTCATGACTGTGCTGCCCTTGTGTAGTATCCCCTGAAGGCTGTTCCGGTGCTTCTGATTCCATTTTGGTTAGTTTCAGTAAGTTTTCTTTTTCTGCTGCTGGGCCTCCTTCACCTGCTGTTGATGATGGTGCAGGTACACCCGATGGTTGTGCGGGTAATGATTGTGGTACCTCCGCATTATTTCCCCTCTCTTGTGTCTCGGGTTGTAATTCGTTTTTTTCTTTTTCTCTTCCCGTTTCTTCTTCGTCTCTCTTTTTATCATCGCCAGATTTATTGCGAGGGTCAGCAACCCCTTTCGTCAGCGCTTCCGTGGGCAATTGTTTAACGTCGGAAGTACCCATCGAAGAGGGTTTTTCACCAGAAGGACTGGGAGTGCTGCCAGATGGAGAGGACAATTGATCGG